AGTTAAATTAAATATTTTAATGTGGATAAAAACGAGAGATTTCCGAGAAATTTTGCACACAGATAGCTTATAACCTAGATTGAAAAATAAGCTACTTTTTTTTAAAGAGTTGCCACCTATTAAAAAGTAAAATCCAATTAAGTTAATAAGTTCAATCAAGTATTAGAATACAGGTGTCAAACGAAAAAAGGTTTAATTTCGAAGATATGTTTCAAACTGGTTTGTCACTTGTTTAAAAATGAAATTTGGTACAAAGATAATTTATGGCCTGGATTATAAAATACTTAGGAATAACCGTTACTAAATATAAGGGTGTTGAGATCTGTTTAAACATTGAAATTAACGAAATTAGGCTATTGGAATATATATCACCATATGAGGGTCGGACGAAAGATCTTTAATAAGGTAGTAGTAGAAAATAGTTTGCAGAGGGTTGCCACCTCCTTTAAAATTCGAATTTCGTTAACCTTTACACAAATTATATGAAATATTAAAATATCGGTGTCAAGCGAAATAGTGTTATGAAATCTTTTGTTTAAATATTTAGAATTTTTTGAGAATTGCTACCTGTCGGAAAAGTTTAGTTCAAATTATTTAATAAGTGAAATGAATTATTGCAAGATGGCATCAATCGAAATGGGTTTGGGAAGGATTTATTTCTTAACTGCATTTAGAAGAGATGCCACTAGTTTAAAAAATCACCACCATGGCTGCTACCATCGCTCAGGAGTCATTCACAATATGGTCGTAGCGGATTAGAGAGTATAATTAACTCTTCTGAATAGAATTAGCAGTCAATTCGAAGTTGATTTAGTTCGGGTCCTTGGAAATGAAGCACATATTATTAATGGTCACCCAAAAGTAGAGTTCGAAAATTAATTCGAATACTTCCAAAATTCATGAATATTTTTAAAACCTTTACAACATTTTTGGGTACGCAGTTTTGTAGCCCGCATAATTTTAGTCGCGTCGATTTTTAATAATTTCTTTTCGTGATGGATTCTGCACTTTTTCCATATAAACATGAATTTCATATGAAATAAAATGCGGGAGACCGTCTCACAGTGCTATGTCCCAAAGGCAAAATTTAAATAAAATTAAGTGCCTAGAATATTTAAGTAATATATATTTTTGTAAATCTAACATAGTGCCTTTAATAGATTTGGAAGTTCAATTTATCATCTCTGAAGTTCTAAGATACGAGTGTTGAACGGAAGTGTATTGCTTTGAAACTTAAGAGTTTTGTTTACAAAACACAAAAAACAGAAATAATTTTTGGTAAATGTTTTTTATGGAAAAGTTGTTTGGGTTATCGAAAACTTCTGAGACATTTTTATTGGAATTACCAAAATTACGAAAGTTTGGTAGAGTTAATTAAAAACAATTTTAAGAGTAGTTGATGTTTTATTTACTATTTTGAAGTACTTTCATAGAATCTGTGGAGAAGTTTCAGATTTTCCTGCCGGAACTGTAAAAATTATATGCATGTTTAAGCCATATTTCTTAAGTTTCTAAAAAGTTGCAAAGAGCTAAGTTTATGGTATTGCCAAAATTTAAAAACCTAAGATATTACACTTTTTTTTAGTACTATAAAAAAAGAACCTAGTTTTGATATAGTGTATAATTTTTGTTAAATAGCGACAGTCTTTTTTTGGCGGAAACCCTAATTTTTTATAAATTTTGACAAAATTAAGAGCATATATAAATAAAAAGTAGGTGAATTTTTATTTTTCGTTTAGATACTTCGTTAAGAGACCTAACAATTAGTAGGAAAAGAACTGAACATTCTTTTAAAACATCTAAACTTTTTAATTTTACAAAGACAACAAATATTAACTAACATATATATATAAATCTCGTGTCACAAAGAAAAAAATCAAAACGAAATTATGGGGATTTGTAGAAGTCTTATTGATAATTTTGGCATGTTGCTTGCTCGCCCAAGGCCTCGGCAGGCAGTGTGAACAATAGCAATAGTTTTCCTGCTTGTTGCTCCTGAGTCTTCTAGTGCGGTCTCTCCCTCGCACATGTTATTTCGTACTAATGGTGGGAGTGCTGTGTCTACAGCTGTTTCGACGCGATCCTCACTTACTGCAAACAAAGTGTTTGTCACCAACTCGAAGTCAACAATCGGCGCAGCAGCTGAAAGTGACGCTGCTGCGCAGTCATCTGCCGTCGTTATTGACGTCGACGTTTCGCCGCCTGTGAATTGTG